CCGTTTGACACACAACTACTGATCTCGAGCTGTCCTTGCATTTCAAAACGCATTTTTGTCAATCCAGTAGGTCCGGTTATTCCTACTGAAAGGGGTTCTCTCACGTGGACAAGTGATACATACAATCCTTTTGTTGCGTGTGTTATAGCTCCGAACTTTACTATATCTTCATTCATTATCTCTGTTGGCTCTGCCTGGTCAGCAGAATCAAATACAGGAAATGTCCTGAAACCTGTAAAAGAAAGTATGATATTAATATATATAACAGTGCAATATTACAGGATAAGCATACTCTTGTATGTGTAATACAGTATTCCACATTATCTGTACATAATGCATCGTCCACTGATTAATTTCATGCAACCTTTTTTTAATATTCTATTTCACATTACTCAAATATTACGTATTTTTTCATAATTAAAAAATCCGAGATAATTTGCCTGCTGTTTGCAAAATCAGACTGAGGTACAACTGCTGTACTTGTATGGGAATTTATGTGCTACATAGAAATGTGTTTTAGTATATTTAAGTACATTAAGCAAATGCATAATTCATTCAATAAACAAGGCATCACTTGTCTTCAATATGATTCATCAGTATCGAAATATGTAATGAATGTGTAACTGTATACACAAACAATGTACGTATTGAACGTGCCGCTGCGTTTTAAGACCGACTGGTCCCTTTATCAAGCTATAAATAAGTGAGCAATTAGTATTGTTTACCTTTACAACGACGTGACGGAAATGTATATTCCATATTTCACGCTATATTGGACGTTTGTGTATGAAGTAAAACTTTGATATTAAGGAAGCACTTAACTTTGTTTTTTATCATCAGCAAATAGACAAATATAACTCATCGAAAACAAAGTTTGCATATTCTAGAAATGAGTACCTATTTCAGCGAGCTGGTTATTTCGGAAAATGGCGAACTCTCCCCCTGACGGCATTCTGTCCTTCTGGACGGCTACTACTGCGGCATCTACAGTCACGCCATCTACTGTTACACCACATGTGCCGCGATAGGTCTTACCGCACTTTCTCTCAAACGTGATTTTTGGCGGAGGCTTGGAGAAGTTATCCACTGCAGGCTGGTTGACTTGCAGTTGAGTAAGAGTGTTGATTTCATCATAGCTATAACTATCTTATCCGTCCTTGAATCCATAAGCAACATGTGCGCATGTCAGAAATCCTTCGAGAACACCATCCTTTTTGCTGTGTATTTTCACAAAAGGACCAATAGTTCCACCCCTACTTTGTCCATCCTCTTCAACGTCGCATTCGCATCTCATCTTTAGTTTAGGATGGAAATGTGAGCTTGGTATTGCTGAATAGGTACGTGGTGCAATTTCAAAGAATCCTTCACGTACATCTATCAAGACAGCAATATCATCAACCAAAAGCTGATGCGGAAATACATCTTATTGTATTGGCCTTAATCCTTTTGAACTACAATATACAACTACAAGGGCTGTTTCTGCCAGCTTCAAGTCTTTGCCTCCTTTTCTGGACTTCAAATGCGAGACTCCCAAGGCATTGATGTTCGAATGTGATTGCATCAGACGCGTGCCATGCATCTGGATCGCTTTCCAAGCAGCATATGTAATGCCCTTGATGTTGCTTGTATTCAATGACCTCATTTCCTCACTATTTGCTATTCGAGTTGCTTCATCGTTAACTGTTTTGGGGTTTCTGAATAATACTTTTATCCCCGTAAACTGCTCCACTCTCTCACAAACAACGTTTAATCCATAAGCCAGGAATACCACTTCTCCTACACCGTCGAATGTTGGCTCAATGCGATAGGAACCTTTCAATTTGTCCGCTAAACGTTGTTTTAGCTCCAAAGCAACAGCTTTTTTACAACGGTCATCCAACGTATACTGCGTAAGGCACTTGCCAATATCATTCTCATCTTTCACGGACGGTAGCAGTAAACTCATAATGTCAGCCTTGTTTAGCTCACATGTTAACTGAAGGAGAGAGGATTTGTCTGTAGAAGCAGCAAGAGATGGATATGTATTACAGAGATATGAATACATGTCTCTACTTCCAGAACGACAGGCCTTGTGAAGCATGGATTCGTTATCCGCATCTACAATATTAGCAATGTATTGTTGACGCTCCTCTCCTATTTTTTCAAACAACACAGATTCTACAGCGATAAAGCAATCCTTATTTCCAGATTTAGCAATGCGAAGAAGACATTCGCTACTGTTCTTTGTTAATAAAGCAGGGAACTTTTCATGAGTTGCAAAACATTTTTCTTTGTTTCCCGATTCACAAGCGTCATACATGTCTTTCAAATTCCAGTTTCCAAACGAAACTTGCTCACGTTCAACCGACGAAGTAGATCCATTATCGTCATCATGACATTGTTTGGCGACTTGTGCCTGTTGAAATCAAATATCAAAGGATTTGTGATTATGGTGAACATACTACCAAATACATAAAAGTGTATGCAGATAAACATTGAAGGTTGCTGACTGTGATAAATGTTTGAATTTTCGTTTACACACACAAAACGTGAACGTTCAGACACAAATACAATTTTGCAATATGTTTTATTCTTTTTAATTGCCATCGCTGTTGACAATATATATACAAAATATGTGGGGTTAACGTCTGCAAAACAGCTAAGGTCATATGAAGACGAAAGCCTGGTGAGAAACTGGAAAGAAAGAGTATGCATTAGAAGAAGTAGAAAAAGATTACAAGGGGGAGCAGATAAATGAAAGTAATACTAGGAAAACAATAGTGCACGTGCGTTACGATGATACGTCGATTCCCGATTTCGAAACTCAACTGGGTTGTCATGATGACCTATGAGTACGTCATCGACGGAACCTGAAATGCTTAACAGATAATATTAATGTTGATCGTTATTTATGTTTTACAACCAAATGGTTCTGTTCACACACATTGTATTCCTTGATTTATCTGATGCCGATCGAGCAGTCATACAATTAAGATATACAAGTACAAAAATTGTGTCTTACCTTCGGCATTTCTGTAGACACTGGAAAATTTAAGAAAAACAATTTAACAGAACTTTTAGTTGAATATTTCATTTGACAACAAACGTTCATAAGAATTAACGATAACGCTGCTGGCAAAATTGACTGTATTATGAAAATGAAGAGTAATCAATTATTTAAATAAAATCAATTTTCATTTAATATTTATTCGATCATTTTTGACAATGACACACTGTATATTTTCAGTCAATCGTATGTGTAATACATGTAAACATCTCGAAGAATATAACAGCAATTTATATTCGTAGACGACCCCATTTTAATCAATTATTTACTAACGATCATACAAACATGACATCATCAGTATTCAATTCAAGTACGACGTCTAATATGGTCTTTCTCACTAATTTGAATTAATACCGTTTCTTCAAAACTTATGAAAGTGGTAAAAAATATTGAACTTCACAAGTGGGAATGTTAGCCCATTTTGAGTACATGTTTTTGTACTAATTACAGGTATCGTTTGAAAATCAACAATTTTCAGAGTGAACTAACTGGTCGGGGTTATAAGAGAAAATCAAATATTTCATCGTTTCAACATGAACATGTACACCTATTATTTTATTATAATTTCAAGTTTAACGGCCGATCTGATGAAATACATTTGGACACCCCCTCGTATCTTATGTAAACATGGTCGTCGCAATAAGGAAAAGTAAACAATCGTTACAACACAGGACCTTTACAATTGTAAAAGTATATGTCGGGTGTGTATCTATTATTATTATATGACTGTCATTTTCCCCACACGCTGATTGGTCAAACACCTTTTATAGGTCTAAATATATTGCAATGTTACACCGAAACCTACATAATCCGTGCATACGAGGTGAATATAACAGTCAAAAACCCCGACGGGCGTCTCAAAGGTGAATATTACAAGCCAGTAACTGTGCTACAATGTTTGACCTGTTTGACCAATCAGATCCGCGGATTGTCGTTGCCTCACTGGAGTGAAAATGACAAATGACAGTGAAAACAAACTCGGCTTGTCAAGATTTGGAACTGTTTCCGATGACCAACTTAAAACTATTTTGGTGCAAAAGGATAATAGAAACACTAGTAAAGCTACTGACACGTCCGTTAGTGTATTGCGTAGTATTGGAAAGAAAAAAGCAATGGACACAGACTTTGCTAACTCTACAATGTTCTTCGGTAGATTTATGTGGAAATGACAAATATCAGCGTAGCTCTCTTTTTAGTTTTGGTATCAAGATAGAATACAATCTCGAGTTATTGTTTAAAACATATTCAATTGTTATTGTTTATTCTGAAAAATCCAGACGGATGAGATGTAATAACCGATGAAAATTGTGATATTACAAATAATATTTATTTATGCATTGTAAACGAATGTGATGTTTGAAGATACCGTTACGCGGTACTGTATTTTTACTCTTGAAAGTTTACTTTCAATGCATATTAATTTTGATAAATACTGAATGTGTTTGGTTGAGTTTTCTCCCATTTACTCACATCACGCAGTATGATGTTTTTGATTTTATTAACAGCTAATATAAGGTCATTTTAACTGCACAGATGCAGGTGCCATACTCACAAAATATGCTTAGTATGGATTGGTGATATACATGGATAAGTTTATTAAAATGTCAGATAATAATACAGTTATTGACCTGTTTTCAGGTGAATACGAGGCTTTATTAACACTCGAAGGAGATATTTCCCTCGGCTGAATCGGTCAATAATTGTATATTATATCATGATATTGGATGAAACGATGCGTGGGCAGACTTTTTTTCCATGATATTTATAAGTGTGAAACATGCGTTAGATAAACTGTAATGGAATACATGACATGTATAATACGAAACGGATAAGCAAACATGAGGAGGAAACAGGTACTGTGTACTTATCTAAATCCTTCTCATCTCTCTAACTATGAATGACTAGTATTTGACACTACAGGGCATTTAGACAAACGAAGATAAGCACAATATGTGGTAAAGAATATATAACTTAAGAACATCGATGTTCCATGAAATAGTCATAAATCATGTCACTATGAAAGCAATTGAGAGTTTTTTTTTCCATTTAATCAAACGTTTAATTGAGAGGGCTAGTTTCTTTGTATATGTTACAAATACTATTAAGTTTTGTCCCACCAGAAACATTTTATTGTTTTGGACTGAATAATTGTCGTTTTGTCCCAAACTAAACCCTCGTATTCCATAATTATGAAAGAAATGCACATTTTTTTTAGTGAAAATCTATCAATTTCAAATTTTATTTTACGCATTACATTTAACTTTACTGATGCTTTACTAACTACATGATTAATGTGCTCAGCCAAGTTTCTGTTCCCAGAGAAATTAATACATGCTTGTGAATGTCAAATTCATTCAAGATGATACCATTTAAACGTGAGAGAGGGTGAGCTGTTTTTTTTTTTTTTTACTTAATGTCATAATCTAGAGTGACATATTATATGCACATATATTACGTTAATGTTTAAACTTTGCCCTCTATTCTTCTTTCATAGATCTTTTTTGGCTTTTCGATGGGAAAACGTACTTTTCCTTGTCAGCTCTCTTATTCGATTACATATCCCAAATGGTGACTTTTTTTTGTTAGGTATACATTAGTGAACAACTTTAAGAACTATGCAATTAAAGTAACTAACAATTTCATCACTATCATCACTGTTGGTAATATCATCCCAGTGAATTTGAGACAGCTTATGTTAATATTCACTATAATCGCCATGACGGAAAAGCTTTCAGACTTTTTTCTCATTAAAAATATCAGATATAGGACATTGATAGTGTGTTTGCATTGATCAACGAAACATTATCTGACAAAGCAAGTATTTAATACGTTATAACTTCCTCATGTAATGTCTTAATGAAAAGAAGAAGACTCGGTATAACACGTTAGTTCAAATATCATCTGTGTTAAGTGGTGATCGGAAAAGGCAAGAACCATAGCAATTCGTGTCACGTACATTTTACTTGAAGTCACTAGTTAAAGTTATATTTCTATTTTTAGTATTAAAAGCTAAGTTAACATAATATCAAATGTGATCCAATGTAGAAGTTGGAGATATCGGAGGCCTATAGAAAGTTCCGCACAAGACTGGTTTGTTAGATAGTAACACTCAACCGACACGTATTCAATATTTGGTAATTCTAAATCATCACGCCTGTCAGACAATAATTTGATTTTTACATTGACAGTAGGATTACCATTTTTACAAGTTGATGCCATCTTCCTCCATGGAGGATTTTCACCAAGTAAAACTAATTTCCCACTGAAAATTGAAAAAAATACCAAAAAGTGTTATTGTCCTATATAAACCGAGTAAACTGTATTCCTTCCCAAGGGAGAACTGATGACCCGGAGGTACTGACATTTACCATTTAAATACAGCCCCTGATGATTTTCCTATCCATACAGAGAAAATGCTGAGCCTGGAGAAGAAGATTTTTGATTTTTTTTTATACTTTGGGGTCCCGCCCTAGCCCCTGGGGTTGGGGCAGGAATCCCAAGTTTACAATGTTGTAGCCTCATTTACCAAGGATGATTCTGATCAAGACTGAAACAAATTCATTCACTGGTTCTTGAGAAGACCTCGAAAATGTAAAAAGTGTACGCAACAATGACGACGCACGATGACGGATGGAAAGCGATCAGAATAGGTCACTAGAACAAAGGTCGGTGACTAAAAAACTCCAATTAATGCCATATCACTGTGTTAACAGACAAATACTATTTACACTGTGCAAATAAAACTTATGTTATTAACAAAATAAAAGGCTGATTCAAATAGATGGTACAAGAATAATGATAGATTATTGTCCAAAGAAATTGTTTACGTCTTATTTAGTATTTTGACTTTGAATTTATCATACAATACATCTATTGTATAATTAACCTACTAAGTTGAAAACAAAATTCTCCATTTGTTTATGTTTATGATAGAAAGATGAAATAAAGACAAGTTCCATTTCAATAATTGATGCAATTTGAAAATCATGTCAAGTCACAAAAATCATTTGTACGGAATTTACGCGCTGTTAACGTTAATTACTAAATATTGTGCAAGAAATAACGATGTGAATTATGTTCAGTTCCCGTAAGTCAATCGACATTTGACTTCACTGTTAGATGAGATAGGTATTGTTACAAATATTGTGCTGGTATTGTTTTTGTATTTGGTTACTGTGCATCAACAATTTTAGTCATTTATATACAAATAAAAAGATTCACAAAACGGAAGCATATCAAACCTAAAGCAAATAGTGAAAATGATTAAAAGATGCAACTGTGAATAGCAGTTAACACAGAAAAATAAAACCCATCTTGAAGAAATTAAATAGCAAGTAAAAAGAACAAAACATTGTGATCCTCAAGTGTTCGCCATGCTGTTCATGCAGCACGACAAAGAAAGGCAGAACAGTGAAGAAAGAAAGGAAATATTTAAGATCCCAAGTGTGTTGCATTGGGGGCAGAAAATCTATGTTGGTCTGTTCAATGTCCCCCAAGTAGTAGGCATGTAGTAATTGTTTGAATCATGTCATCTTGAAAAAGAAAGTGAAGGGATATAACATGTAGACTCCAATTTAAGTAATTTGTGCTGATTTGACATATCTGTCAGTTCAAGAACTAGCTGTACACCAAATTCAAGAACAATTACACATTATTATATGTAACGCATGTCTGAAATTGTCTGACATTGTCAGTATGATAGGTTTTAAGCAAAACTTCAAAACTAACTACAATTTCTGGGTATTTTTTCTCTCCATAAACAACGGAAACAAATCTACATTTTAAAGAGGGTGGTAGCTATGGGAGCACCCTACATATGTTATAAACATAAAAGTATTGATACCTTGCAAAACAATAAGCAAATTTCTCAAAACCACCAATTTTCAAAATCACCTAAACATGACATATTTTATCTAAAAGGAAACTGGGAACTTATAGAAGTAACAAACTATATCCGATATATAACAGAAAGGAA